AAGTATAAACTAAAGTTCCAATCAGAATAGTTAAAGAAGAAAAGGGAATAAAATTACCCAAAATGTAAAAGTTGGAATAGTCCCAGAAAGTAAAAGACTTGTATGGAACAGCAATCCTCTTTAATTTTTGTGGGTTTTTTTTTTTAAATATGAAATAAATATTAAATTTTTAAAGAAAAAAGATAAAATGAATAAAATAAAAGACCAATAAGAGAGGCAGCTGCCGTCGGCTGGCCGCGGAGGCGGAAAAGGGGTAACGAGGGGGCGCAGCAAACACGGCGGAGAAACCTGATAACCTTATCCCCACCAACAACAAACGGAGAAGATGAAAATTCTCCTCCCCTCGTCTCCTCCATCATTGCCAACTTCTACGCTCCAAAATCATCAATCCCCCACGGAATCAATGCCCACCATACAAAATCATTTGTGGGTCCCCTGTCCAACACCCTCTTATCTATCGAACAAAATTAAATTATAGTAAGATTAAAAAATAGACATTCTCTTTGCCATCTCACTTTAATTTTAAAAAAAATATTTTAAACTTTTTTATTTTCTATAAAATGGTCTCATTTTTTTAAATTTTTTATGAATTAATTTCGCTTTAATAGAAGGATATAATAAATTATTTAATAAAATAATAAGAATTGCCGTGAAACACTGAGACTGTTCTTTCTCCTTCTAGCAAAATCTTCGCATGGGGCCACGTGTCCAACTGCTTTCATATTTGGCAATGGGTGGACCATAGATGGGGGCATTTATGAATGGCTTGGTTCGATGGATAAGGGTGCCAATGGTTTTCCATTGGTTCCTTTCTTTTCACTTTCGTTTTCATGTGTGAACGAGATTTGGAGGGTTTGGTTAACTTTAAGAAAGGTTTAATCAGTTTAACAATTTAATTAGTGGACTTCTAATTATTCCCAATCATCTTAATAAAGTGGAAGATTATTTCTATTTAAAAAAATTTTTGACAAAGAATTGTTTGAATTCTCTCAACTGTGTCAAAGTCAATGTCTATCAGCAGGCTATCTTTTGGGTTACGTGGCCACGTGGGGACAAAACAGAGGGACAATCATCCCAATTTGAAGCCAATTATATACTTTATTTAATTATATGCTAACCCTAGAGTTCATGCTATATAATTATAATATAAGACTATGTCATATTAAAACTAAACAGTGCATGAAATTGCATGCCACGGTGGCAAAATCTTGGACAACAAGCATTTAAAAACTCAAAGGATTGGTCTTTTCTTTTCTTTTCTTTCCTTTTTCTTTTATTAGGGAGGATTGGTAAAGTTGGCCAGAGAGGATAGATGGGAATCAAGTAATGTGTTAGTCATCTAATTGGAGGAATAAAAATGCTCATGCATTGCTGCAATAAAAGTATTTTATTTCTCAATTTACAATTAATTGGTTGAATTGAATTCAGCCTACACAAGTTTCTGCCGGATGAACTCAATTGGGTGGCTGTTTACTTGGTTTATAACTTAGACTTTTTAATGGATTAGATTTTAATTATTTAAATTTAATCCGAATTTTAGAATTTAAATTTAATTAAAATGTTTGACAGATTAAATCTGATTATAAATATCAGTAATTTAAAATTAATAGATTGAATATGAAATCAAGCAATCTAATTTGATGAAAATCTGAATTTGAATTTTAATAATATTTTTATTAAATTAATAATTTTATATATAATATTAATAAATTTAAATTTGTAAGGGTTAAATTTAAAATTTCAGAAAATTGAGAGACTAATATAATTGATGGAATAGAATTGAAGAATTTAACAGTGTTACTTTTTTGTGAGATCGAATTTTTTTATCAGATTTTGGATTATCTATTAGATTTAGATATTTTTTAACAGACACAGATTTTATAGAATCTCAAATTGAATTCAAATACAGAAATAGACAATCGAATTTTAATTCATATTTGTATATTTGATTCAAATCTAATCCATTTATAACCATATTATAACTCCTGTTAATTACTTTTATTTTTGTTTTTGAAAACAAATAATAATATTAATAGTAAATACAAATTTATTTTTCCTAGTTTTTCTTGATGCATCTGATTCTTGTAATGGGAAAAAAAAAAAAAAAAAAAAAAAAAGATAGCGGAAGAAACTGCAAGGAAATTTCTGGGAGTACAATAGAAGAAAATCTCGAAGTGGTGTGTTTATTTTTAAATAATTTTTTGATGGGGATGTATCTTAAACAAGAAGTTTGGATTAAATACGCTCCCCCACCTTCCGAGTTGTCAGCTTGTGTCATGGTGCCTACCTCCACCCATGGCCAGACAAGATTACCATTACAAGACTTTTCTTCCACACCCAGTAGGAAACCCATTTGAATTTCTTCTCTCTCCCTTTTTAAAGAGAGACTTTGTAATATTAAATGGGTATACCAATCGTCAACTTTTGAGCCATCTTCCTGACTTCAACAACTTATAAAATAAGCTCACAATCATGCCATGACGAACTATGAGTTTGTGGAAATAAGCTCCTCCACACTTTCCTGACTTTTGATAAGTCGGCCTTCTGGCATGCGGGTCCTTCACTGTCATAGCGGGAACCAAACAATTCCTACGAATCGGATTACCCATGTCTATACCCAAAACCCTAGCCACGTAATTCAATCAGTATGAATTAAGGAAGAAGAATATGTATAAATTGGTTAATAATTTAGACTTAGCAATGAATGATTGGTGACCTAACTTCTTAACAGCATAGCCGACAATGCATTATTGAATGTGTCTAAAGATGCACAGAATAGTAGGTCCCAAGAACAGTCTCTTTCAACTTTCTAGTTAAGCAAAGATCCGGATTCTTGTTGATGAATCATATTCTGGCACCATTATGATCTCCTTTGAAACTCCCATGGCGTGTCTTTTACCTTTTTTTTTTTTTTTTTAACTTTCTCCCACCCCATTTCCCTCCCCTCCACACAATGCCAAGGAGGCCCATTATTCATCAAATAATTCCACTCGTTGCCCATCTCTCTCCTCTTCCCATCTTCTTGCTGGAAATTTCTCGCCGCCGTCACCTCTACAATTTGGAAAAAATACCGACCGATGATTTGATAATTTTAATTATTTAAAGAATTAAAATGTAAAATATTTTTATTTAATGTTAAAAAAATTATCTAATTAAAAATATTTTAGTTTTTTAAAATATTTCTATTATTATATATTTATAATAAATTTTACAAGTATGAATTTGTATATTTATAAATATAAATATGTATAATTACAAACATGTATTTTTATAGTTAATAATATTATACAATTCATATTTCTAATTACACAAATATGTGTTTATAAATATATAAATTTATTTTTGTAAATATATAAATACATACTTAAAACAGTAATTACATGATTTCTAATTAAACATATGCATATTTTTAATTACACAGATTTATATTTGTAAATATACATATACATACTTGTAATAGTTATTATAAGATTTATAATTATACATATACATACTTGTAATTATACATAATTCATACTTGTAATTACATAGATATATACTTGTAACAATTATTATATAAACATGTAATAATAATGGTATTTTGTAAATGTAACAAACCCTTAATTGGGTAATTTTTTTCTTATAACCTCGAATGAAAATATTTTTTGTTTTGACCCTCCAGGTCGTTAATTTTCCCAAGCTATAAATTTCTCTAAAATTTATTTTGGAATGGAATGTGATTAGCTTTATTTGGATTACGATTTAAGTTAGAAATTTCAAATTCAAAATCCAAAAATCTTAAATCTTATTTATCAAATTTTAAACTAAAATTTTGTCAGCATAGAAATAGCCAAAAAAATAAGGAATGATCAATGTAGAATCATATAATGGCCACGTGAGAAAAATAAACAAATTGTAAACAAATATGTTATTTTGCTTCTCTTTATTTTATTTAATGTTGTTTGACCACCTTTAATAGTGTTAGTCTCTGAAAATAAATATCAATGATACAATATATAATTTATGAGATAAAACAGAGTAAAGAAGGAAATTTAAGTATACAAAATTATTTTTTGGCAGGTGAAAAAAATTCTTTAAAATCTAACAAAACCGGCGAATTAATTGATGTCTTATCAAGATTGTAACTTTCTAACTTTGAAAATTGAATGCATACATTTGAAAAGTCAGTATACGAAAGACTCTTTAAACCTAATGAAATCGGTAAATTGATTAAAACAAGGAAGGAGTAGGACACGAATTCCAGTCTCATGGTCAATCAAATAAGAAAGAAACATAGCTCTTGAGTGGTTTGAGAAAAACAATTCTCAAGTTCATGATGATCCACGTTTGACACCCATTTCATGTTTAAATTAAAAGGGGCTTATTTGTGCAAGGAAGGATTAAAAAATCGTTTTATTGCTGGTGTGACATAAGAAGAACAGGGGAAAGTCGGCCAATAATTGAAATCATGTTTGCAAAGTAAACCCAGATACCCAAAGAATCAAGGAAAATGGAGAAAAGGAAAAATGTGGGTAGTGGTAGTAACAGTAGAGTTTGGCAGGTTAATGGGTGGCGAGAGTCGGAGGAAAAAGTATCTCGATGTGTCTCCCATTGCCATGTGAATCCACGTATTCTCTCTCCCCTACTACGATTCTTGTCATTTTATGTTTCTAGGGCTTATTTGTTTGTTAATCCAGTAAAAAATGAAAAATCAAATAGATAAATATATAAAACTATACCAGAGAGAAGACCCTGTTTCCTTGTTTGTTTTTATATGATGGAGGAAAACAGTAGTGGGGGCACAAATGGTCAACCTATGAAGAGAGAGAGGGAGAGACTTTCTCCCATCCCCACCCATATATTCGTTCCCCTACTCATTCCTTTGATTAATAATCCTACGCAGCCACCCACCCACCCACCAACAAGAAAAAAAGTTCTCTGTTCATTTTTCTCCCCTTCTTATTCCTCTCATTCCCCTCCAAATCTTGCATATTTTTCAGCAATTTCTCGCGTTCACATACATGGGTCTTGATGATTTTCGCAGCACAGGTCTCGTTCTGGGTCTGGGCTTCTCATCGTCGCCGGAGAAGTCACAGAACAAGCCGCCGCCGGCGGCCAGAGTTTTTGAGCCGTCGTTGACTCTGGGCCTCTGTGCGGGGACTTATCAGCAAAATCAGGGTTCGAAAGGGAGTGAATTGAATAAGGGAAATGTTATTGACGCCTCTGATTTGCTTTACCGTCAAGATAGTGGTGCTTCTTCGTTTTCTAACGCTAGCGTGAAGAGAGAGAGAGAACACGGGAGTGAAGATGGTGAAACAGAGAGGGTTTCGCCCAGAGTGAGCGATGAAGACGACGATGGGACTAACGCTAGGAAGAAACTTAGGCTGAATAAAGATCAATCCGCTCTTCTAGAGGAAAGCTTCAAGCAACATAGCACGCTCAATCCTGTAATGATCTTTACAAACATGGCTTTATTTTCTCCCATTCTTCGCTTTAAAGAGAAAAAATTTGATGATTTTTCTTCGATTCACAGAAGCAAAAGCTGGAGCTGGCTAGGAAGTTGAATCTGCGACCCAGACAGGTTGAAGTTTGGTTCCAGAATCGCCGAGCTAGGTTCGTTTTCTCAAGTTTCAAGACTCTCAAACCCATCTGGACATTACTTTATGGATAAATATCCATTAGTCCGGCCGGCTCGAGTTCTTTCTTCTTTTCTTTTACTGTTTATCATTTTTATCAATATTTCAGAAAGTTACTCTGGTACGAGTTTCATGGATTCATATATCAAAAAACACCCTATTTGATTTTATGTCAGTTTTCTGTTACTTGGTCAACTCAATAATTTGTTAAAACTGCTGATTTAGATGTGTTTTCGAAAACTATTTCTCAAAAAATGAAACATGTAAAATAATTGCTTTCAAAATTTTCAGAAATTATTATCGTCCAGAATAAGAAAAGGAAAAAAGCGAAGATCGACTTCAACATTTACTGAAAATGTCGAGATGTTTGTGCCTATGTTTTCCGTAGTCCCCTGGTTTCTCGTGGTCATGGCTTCGATATTACAGCTTATTATTTTAAGAATGTTAAGGACGAAGAGAGCCGCATGCACGAATATGATTTTCTCTGTACGTGAAAATCTGAGGGAGTTAACGGTTATTTTTACAGGACGAAGCTGAAGCAAACAGAGGTGGACTGCGAGTTCTTGAAGAAATGCTGCGAAACGCTAACGGACGAGAACAGAAGGTTACAGAAGGAGCTACAGGAACTGAAAGCTTTAAAACTAGCACAACCCTTCTACATGCAGTTGCCGGCGGCGACCCTTACCATGTGTCCATCCTGCGAGAGGATCGGCGGCGCCGGCGGAAGTAACACAGCCGGAGACAATGGCTCCAAATTCGCGATGACCCAGAAGCCTCACTTCTTCAATCCCTTCACAAACCCATCGGCGGCTTGCTAGGAGCTCGGGATAGTATTTTAATTAGTGAAAATATTAGAGCCATCAGACCTCCTATCCTGTTTTTATTAGCTTCGGGTTATGAATTGAAGAAAAAAACTGAAGAAGAACATAGTATAGTTGAGTTCATAGGAAAATAGGAATCAATTACTAATCTTCTCTCTCATTACCCTTGTAAATTATTAATGAATTATATAATTATATATATATGTGCAGGGATTATTAAAATTTTTTGGTTTAATGTTAATTTTATCAGATTAACTCTTAGAATAATTAATTTTTTTATTAATTTGGGAGTGAATTAACATAACACGCTAGAGAAAATCCTGGAAACGAAAACGATGCCTAATATCTGATGCCTTAACTTTTAGGGGACGTGTGGGCCACCCCCCACGTGACGTCCCCATGCGAACTCGTCTAGCCCTCGGTCCTGTTGGCGGGGCCCACCCAACCCCAACTTTCTCTAACTTCCTTCACCCTGATGCGGCCCGATCTCGCCCAATCAACGGCCCAGATTGACGGGGCTGGGAAGCGGACCATGTAGGCTACAATTGCTTTGGAGACACGCAATCATGATTGGGCGGTGGGCAAAGTTGTACTTTCCGAATCATGAGGGGGTGGGGCCTGGGGGGTGATCTTCAATTTCGGTCTCTTTTCTCTCTCTAGCCCAGTGTGAATTACACAACCGTTCGGAGAGCAGAGCGTTATACTGAGGGTAAAAGGGTAAATCTAATTCCCCCCACTATCATTCGCGGTCTTTGCCCATAATTGATGGCGTGGACGAACAAAATCATGGGAGGACTTTCCAGGAAGCTGCCTCGTCCTGCTTTGATGGTCTCATCATCATCATCAGCAGCATCATCAATGTCATCGCACCCTCCTTTTTGTTTCATTTTTGGCTTTCTTTAACTTTGATCAAATCAACATCATGTCATCATCACATGATTTATCATCATGTTGGATTTTCTTTTCGTACGTTAAAGTTGTGTATTATAATAATATATTAAATAATTGGCCCTCCTCTTTTTTAGATAAAAGTTTAATTATCTACAGAAAAGTGACCGATTATACAAAAAGTCATACAACTTACATTTTTTTTTTGAAAAAAGAATGTGTTTGTATAGCTTAGAAGTTCAAAAAATTATGCTAAATTATGTAGTCGGCTTATGCAAATATATATATATATATATATATAAACAATGTTAGAGATAGTTTAGAGATGAAATAAAAATTTGAGAGTTATAAATTAAGATTATGTATTTAAAGGAGAGATATGGGATTTGATTTGATTGTTGCAAATTAGAGTTAACGTTATGTGTTAGGAGTATTTTGTTATTATTCAACATTTGGGTTTTAAATTGGGAGACTATCTATTTAAGTAGTATTGATTTGACTATTTTGACTTGAATTTCAAGAGACTATATTCTTAAATCATATTATAAGACATTAATTTTTATTTATTTATTTATTTATTTTATTCACCAGATGATTCCAACTGTAAAAAAAAACCTAAATTATTTTTACTAATTGTTAAATTTTTTATAGGATTTTTTTAAAAAAAATTATTAAGGAATGATAACTTTAAAATTTTTAATGGTTAAGACCATGTTTGGTGATGTTGCCTATTTTGCTTTTCTATTTTTATGAAAATGAAAATAAGATTCTATTTTGTTTTTGTAAAAATAGAAACGGAAACATATTTGACAAATTTTCATTTGATGCAAATTTTGCAACAATACCTACCAAAAAAAATAAATTAATAATAAAAAAGCCAATAAAAGTATAAAAAGCCAGACTTTTGAAACCAAATAACGTAATTGAAATTTTAATTATATGAACTTTTTATTATAATTTGAATTTGTGAGAAGTTGATATCATATTGACATCACATCACATGTGAAAGCAGAATTATAAACTGAAATTATTCTTTTGTATTCTCATATTTGTACAGCATATAAATAAAATAACAAAATAATCCTCAACAAGTAGACGTTGGACACCCATCTTCTTTTCCATATAGGCGTGATTAACTTGTATGTGTTTGTTAGTGGTAATTCAGCTTTCGTGCACTCCCACGACACCAAACAATATTAAAAGGGAACGAAGACGACACTTGTGCTGTGCTAGCCGAATGGTCGGCCTGTCGCCTAGTAGGTTTATGGATAACGTGGCAACATTTGGGATAAGATTACGTTTTGGATTTTGTTAATATATTTTTGTCTTGATTAATTTCCATTTTTTAATCTCATGATCGAAAGCAACTGTGGTCCATTTATTAACCCTATATATAATATTATATTTATATGAGGTGGATGTTAAATGGGTTTCTGATTAATTAAGTTTTGATTTGTACAAATCAAGAAAGTAGACATATCAATCAACTAAATTATTTTATAATTAATTAATTAATTAATTGCCACCTTTCTACACCTCAGCATTTATACTTGCGTGGAAATAGCCATGCCAAACCTAACATCAACGTAAAATTTATTATATTTGATCATTCCATGTCTCTCTGTAATTGGGAAGTCAAACTCTAAATTAATTTGATTAATGGGCATATTTACCAATAATATATAATTTATAGCTTTTAATTGAGGCGGCCACCAAAATTGTCAACATATTAATTCTTAAGTTGGTCACGGGTTAGGATCCTCTCAACTTCCTGATTGAAATTGAAGATGTCTAATTTGTTCTTGAAGATGTCTTGATTGAGAGAGAGAAAGAGAAGGGTGGCTCGTGTTCAATTTTGCTGTTTGATTATAATAATATGAACCATTTTGGTCTTTATTTTTGTGCTTTATCATTACCAAACAGTACTTTTTAAGCTGAAGATTTTTTTTTTTAAACGTAAAGTTTTTCTTATATTTTTATTAAAGTTCTAAGAACCTAATTAAACTACTCACATACTAAAGAGTAGTGGGATTCACTGTCACGTCAGAGATAAATATAAATCAAACTCTCACTTTGAGAAATTAAAAAAAAAAAATTTATGTCATAACAAAGAAGGGTATAACAAAAGTACAAACTAGATGCCCATAATTAAACTCAGCCGGGTGCCACGAGAGCTGGGGAACATTAAAAGAAAATTAGAAACATTATTAAGCCCAACGATTCGGTAAAAGTAATGATTAAGAGAGTTAAAATGTAAAATATTTCTATTTAAAATGAGAAAAAAATTATCAATTTAAGAATATTTGTATTTCCCAAATTCTCTTATTATTATAGTATAAATTTGTATAATTATAAGTATAAAGAAATATGCATGTATATAGTTATTTAAGGGCTTTTTGTTTACACAAATACATACTTGTAATTATATAAATTTATACTTGTAATAATTGTAGTAACAAGAGTATTATAAGGATGAAAACATACTTAACATTCACATTTTTATTCGATCTCAAATAAAAATATATTAAATTTTAACCTTTTAAATGATTAAAAAGCAAGTAATTTTTCTAAAAAAAAATATGAGATTATTAATCACTTTATTTTTTGCAAAGTACTCTTGAGCCGACTCTAGCTAAACCCTAAACCCTAGCCCACTAAATTGGAAATTCTAAACTTTGCTCTTGAGTAATTTTTGGCTTTTGTAGCGTTCATCATTGATTGTACAATAATAAACAGGTTTGATTCCTTCAACTCAATTATTATCTTCGAGATGGAGCCATGCAACCGTTCACACCTTTTCAATATTGTAATTATGTTCAAGATGAAGCCATGCACGGTATTATAATATATTTTAGATGGGCTACGACGAAATGACATATATATGTGTGTGTGTGTGTGTGTGTGTGTGTGTGTGTGTGTGTAACCCTAGTAGGTCGGTAGAAGAGAAATGCACAAGCTACAAGCAACAAGGGGAATCAATTCGAACCACTGAACCGTCCACCCTGTGAGCTCTGCGACTGTGGTTTTCCCACGTGGACTATCTTACAGCGTGGAAGAGTAGGCAGTAGACAAGTAGCTCAAAGCATAGCCGGTATCACGCGTCTCATCCAAACAGGTGAAGGATGTTTGGTTTTGTGGGTCTTACGCAAATATGAAATAAAAAAAGAATTAAATTTAATTTTTTTAATGTTTGATTCGTTATAAAACGTATTTTCTCTGATAACTTTGTATTTATCTTTATGGAAACTTCGTCTATCTAGCTCGAAACAGTGCTAACCACAGCTCCCAGTGAGCTGACCTCCTTGCGGGTGACCAAACAGAGATTCACTTGTTTTCAAAAAATTTTGCTGTGCCATGTCTTCTACCAAGGGTATACCGCAATTATGTAGTCATTTTAATTAATCCAACGCCATACTACCGCAGATCCCTTAGATTTTTAATTAAATATGTTTTGAATTCAATCTAAATTTTTAGATTTAAATTTTATTTAAATATTCAATAAATTAGATTTAATTATAAATATCTATAATTTGAAATAAATAAATTTAAAATAGAATTAAGTGACGTGATCTATTAAATATCTGAATCTAAATTTAAATAATATGTTTATTAAATTAATAATCTTATATATAATATTAATAAATTTAAAATTATAAAAATTAAATTTAAAAATTTAAAAAATTAAGAGAATAATATAATTAATAAAAATTATTTATTGAGTTTAAATATAATTTAATATATATAAAATTTATATAATTTTAAATATAAATATAATTAATCAAATTTTATCTGATTTTATTCTATTTATAACTTTATTTGTGCTCTATCAAGACAAAAAGTGCTCTGACTTTCGTCAGGTGAAGTAACGAATGAATATGCCGAACGATGAGCCCGGATTCCGTAGTGTATTTTTCCTCCAAATGTTTAAGCCCACGGTGCAGGGAGCCTAAATCATCTACAATCAATGGGCTGGCTTGAGCCTTTATATTTGCCCAATTGAGAGAGCGTTTATGCACCGAGAGTATCCATCTCCAAGTCCAAGAGGTCCTTCTCCACCAAACACAACCCCCCCCCCCCCCCCCCCCCAACAAAAAAAAAAAAGAAAATATTTTTAAAAGTTTAGTAAAATTTTGAACGTAAACATAAAGTTATTTGAATCGTATCGTATTTATGTCAAATAGATTTGTAAGTAATTTAAAATTATATTTGTACATATTATGTTGATTTTGTTAAAAAATTTAAAATTGTAATTACATATGCAAGAGAGACAAGGGAAAAATACAAAACTTTATGGGATTCAGTATAACTAATCTATATTTAAGAAAAATAATAATACTATTATAATATATAACTCTATTTATAAATAAATATGTCATAAGTGTATTTATAAATATTTAGAAAACTATGATAAACTCTTCATTTATAATTATTCTAATTTATAAGTTTTAAAGATAAGATCTAAAAATATTTATAAAACAGATAATATTTTTTTAATAAATTTATCCTAACCCAGATTACTATCCCACTGAAGCAAATTAATATAATAAAATTGTCCCACAGCTTTTCCTGCAATTCACGCTGTATACTTCCCAAAAAATAAAAAATCCTTTCATGTTGCTCTTCATGCAAGTTATATATAAATGCAAGTATGACCGAGTCCAGGTGAAGTCTTCCAAAGGCCAACTAGAGAGCCGAGAAACCAGAAGCAGCTTCTCCTTCTCTTGTTTAAGAGACCCCGCCTTCACGGTTTCTGCTGGGTTCTTTGAATTATTGCTGATTGTTGCACTCAAACTTTAAGTTCAATGCTCGAAGGTTTGCATGGGGTGGTGAAAGTGGGTGCTATGAAGCTGCTGCTGCCGCTGCTGAGTCTTCTGATTCTTGCAAGTTTTGATCTCGCTTGGGGAATTTTCAACTGCACCAACACAACAGGCAGTTCTAGTTTGGGATGTGGGGCTTCCGGCAACGTTGTGGAAGAAAAGAGAGGCGTCCCAACAGGTGCTAATCCTCTGCATAACAGGTAGGGGGGCGGGGGAGATACAGAATCACAGGTGGATGAGAAACAAAATTGTCATACTTTTATTTTCAGTAAATTGCACATCTGGTTTCCTTAGTTTATAATCTGAGCTTCGTTTCGGTTCTGTAGTTTCAAAATTGACAAATTTAGTCTCGAGATTCCTTTGTTTTTCCTTTCTTGATCTGTAGTCTCAAGATTCCAAAAGTATGCCAAATAAGGAAAGTAGTTAACAAGCTTTGTCTGTTCAGACAAATTAGGTTTTATCGATGGTGTTATCTAACTCCTAGTTTAACACACCTTCAAAATCACGAAAAGCGTCTATTGATCTGATCCGTTTGGTTGTGTTCAAACTAAAATCTTTGAGTGCAGAAAAATCGAAGTTTTTTTTTTTTTTTTTTTTTGTCCCAAAAACTAATTAATAATGACATCTATTGATCTACATTTGAAATCAGATAAGTTAGAATTGAGATAATAGGGATCAAAACCGAACTAGGTATACATTTTTTAAAGTTTTTATAAGTATTCTTATCTGTTTTACAATTTAAAACTAAGTACAAACTATGAACAAAAGTATAATTTATATTTCATTTTGTTTCTGCTTTCGTTTGTTTTCCTTCTAAGAAAACCATGTTCCCTTTGTTGTCGATGCTTGGATGTTGTAGCCAGCTTTTTGTTCTAACTGGGAACTTATTACTTTCTAACATATTAGAAATGGGTATATTTGCTTTTGGGTACAGGCGTTGTCCCCTGACACACATGGTATGCTTATAATTAAATATATTTAATTGAATATCCTCAAGCTAACTTAGGTGGCAATGGAGATTAGGGTTTTATCTTATTGTTTTTTACAGCAAAAGATAAACTTTATTATGCATGCGTGACATATATTTGCCATGGTCCATGCTTGGAGATAAGATTTTATATGCATTAATTTGATGCCAAAATCGGGAGTTGCCATTGGATGATTACTAGGGACTCTTCTATGCTTGTTTGTTTGAGCTTTTGGGGTTGTCGAGGTGTTTCCCTACATGTGTCTTTATTTGTTTGTCCTTTTTTCTTTGATTCTTTATTGTTTATCAATTTTCATTTCTTTAGGAATTGATTCTGTTATTAAAAATAAAAAAGTTACATTATTTTGAATGTTTAATTTTTTTAAAAAAAATTTACTTTAACTTAACTAACATAAGTTTTTTTTTTCAAAAAAGTTTTTACTATTTATTATTAATAAAAATCTCGTACAATAACTAAATATGACAATATTTTACATATAATTTCAAAAAAAAAAAATTGAACTCCTTGAGTTCAAATTTAGAAATAGTGTAACTATGTTGGGATTTATGATAAAATAAAAAATAAAAAATAAAAAAAATAATTGCTGATAATCCAAATTCCTCAACCTACATGAGGAAAAGCTATATCATCAACGTATGAAAATCTTAGTTTATGTGTCATTGATATTGTTTAATTTCTCAAACTATATAAAGACCAATGAGATGAGATCGGTGAACGCAACTGCCACCCCCCCCCCCCCCCCAAAAAAAAAAAAGAAAAAAAAAGAGTTCTTCTTTGTATTTTCTAGCATTATATATTTTTAGATAGTTTTTGAAATTTCTGAATATCTTGATTTGTCTAAAGATAAAAAAATTCATCGGAATTTCTGATAAAAAATTTAAAATAAATTCAATTTTTTATAGGACATAATTTTAGTTGCCATTTAATTGGCCTTTGAGAATAATGGAAGGGTTTTTTAATTGGGCTTTACTTAAGGGTGCGTTTGGACATTTACAAGATTTATTACTTATGAATAGATCAGATAATGTTTAAGTCAAGAAGAAAGTTATTCCGGTTATTTTTCTTTCTTCTTTTCTAGTCTACAAGTGGGACAGGAGAGGACATTAAAAAAACTGACTTGATGGCAAGGCCCATACTTTTATATTTTTTGGTTGAAGCTTTCGGCATCTAAAAACTTACTGGAATTCAATTAATCTAATTCCAATTATCTTATTACATATAAATAGTTCAGATAATAAGCCAAAAAGAAAGTTATTTTAGTTATTTTTCTTTCTTTTTTCTAGTTTACAAGTGAGATAGGAGAGGGAATTACAATATTTAACTTGATGGTCATGACCCATATTCTTTTTTTTTTTTAATAAAAATTGATGATATTAAAAAATTTGTTAAACTCTAACTAAACTACCTCGAATTAATGTATAAAATATGAATAATTCAGATAATTTTTACTTAATAACTTATACAGTAAGTGAAGAAGAAAGTTATCACGATTATCATTCTTGATGACCATGGCACATATTCTGCTCTTTCATGAGCTGACAACACCTGTCTATGCTTTGCACGAACGGCTGAACGTTTAATTGGCCATGGCCCATATTCTGCTCTTCCGTTGACCTGACATCACCTGTCTATACTTTGCACGAACGGCTGAACCTTTAATTGGAGGCCCTCCTACTTGTGAACGCCCTCAATAATGGCCGCCAAATGTGTTCAAATTCATTTTCTTATTTCACATTTGTATACCAAATAACTCTTTTTTTTATTTTTATTTTCATGCAATTAAAATTTTTTTGTTTAATTTCTAAATAATTTTGACAATACAAGAAATGGGACTTTTAGGGTGTGTTTGGTTTGACTATTTTCTCTTCCATTTTTCTATATAAATTAAAAATAGTGTTGAAAATCTGTTTGATAAGTCATTTTCTATTTTTATTTTTTGAAAATATTTTCTAAATTAAACTAAAAATAACAAAAAAAATTATTTTCAGTATTTTTTTACTGTCTGGCTTGTGACGATCCCTCTCACCTTGTAGCCTATGACGAACCCTCCTTAGAAAATAATGTTTAATATTTTCAGTCCCCCTCATGTTTATGGCAATTGCAAGTGAGAAGGTAATCAGGGGTTACAGACTAGGGGGATGATTGCATGGCTAGGGTTTAAGACGAGAGGGATGACGAACAATGCACGTATATTTTGCACTTTTGTCTCTCGTGTCTTGTACGTTGTTCAATTTACTCCTTTAATTCTTCCAATCTAAATTTAATTTCTAAAATTTTAAATTTTTTCACTTAAATCTCTACAAAAATAATAAAATTATAATTTTATTTAGTTGAGTTCTTTTTTCTAATTTATTAAAAATAGGTAAATTAAATATATTTTCTTTACTTTTATTTTTTGAAAACAGAAAACAAAAAATCAACCTAAACACGTTTTCTAAAATTTAAAAATCTAAAAATAAAGATTATTTTTAAAGAATAAAAATAAAAAATAAAAATAGAAAAAAAATTTTACAAACCAAACATCCCTTAATTTCTCTCCCATTTTTCTTGTCTTAGTCTGCCACTCAACCACAGACCAAAACTACAAAAAATAAAATAATCGAGAGGGCAAAACAAACAAAGGTCGGACATAAAATCCCCCAATCAAACACACGAAACAAATTACTTGACATTTATTTTATTCAACAGTAGAGATAAAACCCACAAACTTCATAGACAGACTTCTTAACTCATCCCTCCCTATAAGCTCCTTCAAACGCAACACACTACCGACGAGTTGGGTCGGCTAAGTTCAGTACCCCGCTACACATTCGGGCGGGACAACGGGGTATCTGGACCGGTCCGAGCAGTAATCGTAGATCATGTGGTTCATGCGCACCCACTTATACCGTTGGGCCTCCGCTGGACTAAGTTGCTGGTAGGCTTCACCCTCCCACCAATTGGAGGGGTTGGGAGCGCAGTTTCGGGGCCCCGGGACCTCGCAACCTTCGAGGTCGAAGTCCTTGTAGTAGGCGTTGAATGGGGCTTTGCTCCAGTCGATTTTTTCCAACCCGCCCCGAGTGGCCCAGTCGTCGGCTTCCCACAGAGTAGAGTAAACTCCCATAGGCTGGAACTTCGGGTAGGGGATTCCTTTCGGCTCGTTGTTTTTGTAAACCCTTATGGGTACTTGGTCCACGTAGAAGCTACAATACCGTTGTTATGAATTTAGACCGTGTTTGTTTGAACGGAGCAGCTTGATAAGACAGGTAAAAGACAAAGAACAATAATTATTAAAAATTTATTAAGCTTAAATAGTTCAGGTGATTGTTATGAAATAATATTTTTCCTAAAAAATTATAAATTAGTTTTCTGACAAAAAAGTTAGATTTGTTGAGAAAATGACATCTAAAATACCATTTCTAATACAATAAATTAAATTAAAATTACAAGGATGTAACCTAGGTTCTTTTGTTTGGCATTAAAAAATTCTCTAAATTTTGAAATTCATGATTTTTTTTTTTAATTTTTAAATTCTCATCTTTAAAATCTTAGGATTCTTTTGATAGGATGTTTAAAATAAAGTGATTCTACGAAAATTAAATTTAGAAAAAAAATAATTTTACATATATAGAGAGCATCAAATGTAAGTTTAAATAAAATAAATTTAAAAAAATGATTTTATAAAAATTATAAAAATATATTACAAATAAAATGACAAATTTAATCTTTTTTTTGGATCTCTCAAATTGTATTTTATTATAAATTTTAATTTTATTGTTTAGTATCCAAATTGGATATATCAAAGCCCCTTTGTAAAAGGGTTTAAAATAGGGGGGTTTAAACCCCATTAAATGGAGGGGCTTGGCCAAACAAGCTTCTCAATCTGGATATGCTTCTGATTTTTTTACTCGTAATTTCAGTCTTCTTCTTTTTTCTTTTTTTCATATTTCCAAATGATTTTAATTAGCTGAAAATTTGAAAACACATTTACTCTTGTTTTTAATGAAGATTGTACTCTGGTCAGGTCAATTATTCTTTTGGCCTCCCTATAGCCACGTTGTTAATTACCCACCTTGTACACACGAGTCCCTTTCATGTCTGCCACAGTGGCCATTGAAATTTCAAACGTTGTCCAATTTTGCATCGGACAAGGATTCTTTTTTATTTTTTTATTTTTTGGATAATCAGAATCTATCTCCTTTCTATTTGTTTAGCTCTGTTTGGTATTTAAGAAATTGTAGTTTGCCATATTCAGAAATACATCTTTAAATTCTAAATAAATAATTTTTTTATCTTTTTACTGATATGAAAACGTGCTGAATTATAAAAAAAATTGAAATTAATCCTTTATAAAATTATACCAAAGAATTCAAAAAAATCGTGGCCATTTTTGAATAAAACACTGCCTTAAAAAGATATTTTTTTATAATAATATTTAAAATAATTTTCTGTAAAAGTAAAAAATAATTTTGAAAAAAGTGAAAAGAAAAGGGTGCAGAAAACATAGAGAAAATAGAACTCGAGTTATGCGATTGCTAGCAAGCGTAGCTTACACAATGTGGTGATGGTTCCAAAGAATGGAGTAGGTATGGAAGTCGGCCGCCGGGTCGAACCAGAGGTTGATCCTCTGCTCCCTATCTCCCTTCCCATGCGCGTAGATGTTGGTCTGAACTGTGTAGGGCTGCCCGGTCCGGTTTCCCAAGAACTCAAAGTCCAACTCGTCCCGAATCGTGTCGGTGTCCGAGTTCATCTGCCACCCCGAAATTTCACAGTCAAATTAATCGAACCATTAACCTAGTACTAAATATAACAGAGTCGAAAATTGAAAACCTTCTTGGAATGGACATTATGGAGGAACTTACGTAAAACGCGGTGACAGTTCCGGCGGAGTCACCCGGAATGAGTTTGATCTTCATGCTCACCTTCCCAAACAGGTACCGTCTCCTGGAAGCAAACCCACAACCTAGGAGTCCACAAGCACAACTAAAAAGTTACTTTTTTTAACATTGATGGTAAAAATAAAGTTGTTCTTCGTATGGTTGTACCTGAAGATTGGTCTAGAATGAGTTGGATGGCCCTGCCCCGGTCGATCTGCTTGATGTGAGAATCGGCCCACGTAATTCTGAAGTCTTGAAGGAAAGTGGCGGGTCGACCCGAGGCAGGAGACGAGAAGGCCAGGACCAATAGGAGGAGAAGAGAGAGAAGGGTATTTCTCAAGGAGGGTGGTGCTGATGCGGCCATCATTGTTTTCTGTGGAGTTGTAATTTGCTGTGGGAATTGAGGATGTAATTTGTTTTTGATTTATAGTTGTGCTGGTTTGCATGTTTGTACATATAGAGTCTAGAAAGAGACGAGAGGAGAAGTGAGAAAGAGAAACACATGTTTGTTTTCAATACAGCTAATAACAAGCACTCCTTGGACCCGCGCTCTCGGGGACCCAGTTCAGACATGGTACATTGAATTTTTAGGATTAAAAATCGAATATAAAAATTAAAAAAAAAATTAATTAAAATCTAAATATAATAATATCATCATATTGGATTGAAATATCCAAAATTTAATAACACTTTTACACCTTCACATCTCCAGAATAACTCATTTCTTTACTTTTCAGATTATCTGTGATCTCGCAATAACATCTTAGTCACATGGTTATAATTAGGGTATTAACATATCAAATTTAGATCAAATCAAATAAATTTAAATTTAATTTTGATTAATTATTTTCGTATTCGAATTTGATTTGAAATTCTTATTAAATTATATTTAAAATTGATAAATAATTCAAAATTTTACAAAAAAATTTAATCTGATAAGAAAATAATATTTTTTTAAACTAAAATCATTTAACTCTAAGTTATCTATTATATTAGTCTTGAATTTTTTATTTTATTAATTTAGTTTTTATAATTTTGAATTTATTAAGATTATATACATAAGATTATTAATAAAATAAAATGATATTTTTTAAATTTAAATTTAAATTCTAATTGATTAAATTATTTAATTTCATATCTGATTTACTTATTTAAGATTACAAATATTTATTATCAAATATGATTCATTCAATTTTTTAATCAAATTTAAATAATAAATTTTAAATTTAATTTAAATAAAATTCAATCTATTAATAATTCTAGTTATAACTACTGCTACTCGGTCATGCTCACTAATCTTTGTGGGTGGCTCTCTCATTGGAAGAAACACTATCAACAACAATCAATTAGTGAAAATACTAAATAGACTTGATAGAAGAACAAAAAATAAATCCATGAGGAGGTTGTAAAGTGATTGGTTTTAATATCATTTGTTCCGACAATGAAATTGATATAAACTATAATTCAATTCGCATGTGCGTATTAATAAATAACGTAGGAAATTTAACTTAATTTTATTAAATTTTTATATATTTACAAAAGGTGTAAATATATTTTTCATGATAAGAAAAAAATCTAAATATAAGAATATCACTCAATTAGATTGAAATATCCGAAACCCAACAGCCGCTTGAACACCCCCTCGTTGCCATCAGATTGAAATATCCCTCTTGAAAGTTATGTATTCACATTTTTATTTTTCTTCTGAAACCGTGTCTACTACGTGGATCTTAAATGAATTAAAATTTTCTCACTCCTAAGCATAATTAGAATTCTCAAATTTTATAATAAACAAATCATTAACATAAAATAGACTCCTAACAGATCTAAGAGTTATTATACATGAGATTCAACTTTAATAATTTTATGTAAAACACACACACACACACACACACACACACAATGGGCCACCGACATGGGATAGATGATTGATGAAGCCACTCCTTTTTCTCAAATACAACTGAGGGAAAAAATAAGCCCAGCAAAAAAAAAAAAAATACTGAGCTTATATCTGTGTTTTTTTTTTTTTTTTGGGGGGGGGGGGGGGGAGAATAAAAATGTTAATCACAATTAGTGTACCACAGGGCATGATGTAGGCCCGGATGTACAACATCACTCATTTTTCTTCTCTCTCTCTATCTCTGTTGGTGGTGGGGGTCGGTGGGTTGAACTTGTGTTCTATAATGAACCGGCCAAGTCCAAGCTACTGGGCTGACTGATAGTTTAGCAAAGTGAATATTTGATTTGAAATTAATTATTTTTTTATTTTTACCTTATGATTTTCATGTAATCTCTTTTATAGTAAATATTCTGCCAGTGCAATATTGATGCTACCATTATGTCATTTTTCTACCTTTTTTTTATAACTAGAGTCAATTATTTGCACCACAGTTTTTAATTAGTTGTAAATTTTAACAGTTTGTCTAAGATTTGGTCCTAATTTTTATAAAAAATTCTATTATCATTTTAATTTTATATATTTTATTTTTCTAAGAAAGAGTAAAAAAGAATATACACATTTCCAATATTTTCATCATTGCATGTGTCTCGAAGGAATTGAATATTATTAAATTAGATATAAAAGAGAGATATAAGGAAAAGACACAAAAATTTACGTGATTAATTGTAATAAGTTTATATTTACCAAAAACAATAATTATATTATTATAATGACATATCTATCTCTTTCCCTCAATGAATACAAATATCATATATGTATTTATATACTTGAAAAATTAGGATAGGATAAACTCTGTACTTATAATTATTATATTTCTTATTATAATCTTGTTTAGATAATATTTCTTAACAGTGTCGGCAGCCAACCATTATAATAATTTCATATATGAATAATGCGTCCAATATTATTGCACTAGGGTTCCAAAAAGGGGGATTTGAATTTTTGTTCAGGAGCTGACAGAAAACCCAGCTGACCTACCATAGTTTTGTTGGTTTCTATCTAATTCTAAGCACTGTAATGCACTAGCTTATGTCAAGTCAACACTCATTTGTGCAACTATCTACCAACAGCCAATGGAAATTATTAGGGCTGGCTCTATCTAATAATTTTAGTAAGAGAAAGGGATAGAGGGCTTGCATTGCGGGAGTTGTGTGTCCAAAATTGTAGCGGCACAATTTTCTGGCCCACCAAATGTGGGCCTCTCATAGGATATCTGGGTTGAGGTTGGCAATGGGGTCAATCAAGTGGGCCTCAGAGTCCAGGACAAGCCTTGTGATCTTTTATGGCTAGCACTTTGCACCTGTGGAGGTCCATCCCCGTTTAAACGTAAAGCCCTTTGAATTTAAATGGGATTATGATAAATTTAGACTTTAATATAATAGTAGTATACTATATTCAAATTCAACTCAAAATGTTAAAATTATATACTTAGTGTTATTATATCTGAATTTGGATAAAATTCGATATTCAAAATAAAAATCTGAATCTGAATTTTTAAATGAGAATGATCAATTGATATAAATGTACATGCAACGTCAATTTGGTTAAATTTAATTAATAAGATTAATTACAGTTATTTTTTATTATATTTTTTAAATTTTATCTTTCTTTTTGATATATTAATTAATTTCATCCATTAATTTTGATAAAATCAACTGTATAAAATTTGTTATAAATATTTCACATTTACATTAGTATCAATTGATCATTTCTCATTTTTGAATTTAAAAAATAATATAATTATATTTGATCTGCTATAAATATGTAAAATTAGCTTACCAGTGATATATAATATTTATATTTAATTCATCAATATACATATTTTCTATTTTTAAGAAGAAAATAATTTATTAATCCAACTCTTTATATTGTGATATATGTAATATTATGTAACGGATTGAATTAGGCAAAATCTATATTTACTCTATTTATTTTAGATTACGGACTTTTATAATCAAATCATGTCTATTAAATCTTTTATTGGTTAAAAATTTTAAATAATCGGATCGAATTCGAATCAGATTCAGATTAAAATTCGCTTTATTAGTAGTCCTACTTAAAAGTCTTATTTTTTAAAAAAAAAATTGCTTCTATTTGTTCTCACCCACATGTTTTTTTAATAAACAATTTTACAGTTTTGAATTATTTAAAGTTTAGTTTTTTAATTCTTCTTATTGCCTAATTTAATATAAATAAGTTACCAACTATAGAAAATTAAAATGAATTGGTTTCTTTAGAATCTAGTTTGCTTAATTTTTTTTATTTGTCTTATAATTTTAAAGTGGGCACAAAAGATCAATCTTCACACATTTGCACATATAGCTTTTTTTGTGGGCAACCAAACAAATTTTTTTAAAAAAATAAATTAAACATGAAAATAACAAAACTATTTTCTTATATAATAATTTAAAAACTATAAACGTTTTTGTACCAATCATCTCGAAATGTGTTGATGTAATGTTAATTTAAAATAGTTAAAAAGTCCATCAAAAGCCCCAAAAAGAGGGCTTGAGCTTTTTGAAAAAGCCTCCACGAGGGTTTTTTCTTTTTTCTCCATTTCTAATTTGAGGAATATTTCTTAAGAAACCAAATATTTAACTTAAAAGAAAAATAGTGAGCTAGCAAATCTATTACGAGGCATATGGGGCAGGGTTAAATGAAAAAAGTAAATAAATAAAAAACACTTAGATAAAGACTACAAAATGCCTTTTTTCAAAGGAGCTCCCTTGTCTGAAAGGAACATTTTCTTTGGCAAAATTACCCTTGTGCATATGCTGAAAAAATTATTTATTTCTTGGAATTGTGGAATTGTGAATTATTTATTTCTTGGGGAGGACCTTTAGAAGGGAATGGGGAATATGATGCTTTACATTTTTGTGCTTGAAATCGACCATCAAATTTACAAGTTTGATATATCATTTTCATATAAATAATTCATAAATATTGATTTGTTAACATCATTATTCAAATTGGAATTTATAAATTTTTAATAAAGAATATCCGAAGCGTTTTTCCGAAAGTGAACGATCAAGATTGCACAAAATAATTTTATCCCTTTGAAATACGAAATGGGAGGACCCAAATGCTTGAATGAAAAATTTAAAACCAAGCAATTACATTTAATTTTCGATAATTGGAAGCCAATGGCAAATGAAAGCTGGATTTGCTCAATCTGTATAATATAAATGATAAGATAATTTTACTTATGTAAAGAATAATCATTTTTAAATCCATAAAAACGTATTTTTATAAAAAAAATAGTCATAGATTTTTCGAATAATATTAATTTCAAATTGTAAAATAAATATCAATATTTGTAAAGATCTAAAAAAAAATTGAAGTTAGATTCATGCCCAAAATTGGGTATCAAAAGGCCTGTTTGGGCGAAGGATAAGGGGTGGAAGTAG